AAACTTTCTGCCCCATTTAATATATTTCAAGTTCCTGAACAAATTTTCCAATCGAAGTGACTGTAATTTTACATATCGCTATACATTGGAAACCCAAAATACCAAATTGGAGCCAATTCTGATGAAAAACTCCTCACCATACTCCCCAAAAAACAAATATTGGGATGTACCGTTATATGGGAGCTACCCCGAAACTTGGGTCATTATTAATAATTTTTTGTAGGAATATTCGCTATACATTGAGAGCCCAAAATACCAAATTATAGCCAATTCGGTTGAATAACGTGTCAATCAACCCCGAATTTCGAGGTAAACCGTCTTATGGGTGCTACCCCCAAACTTGGGTCAATACTAAAAATTTTTAGTGAGAAGGTTCTCTATTCAGAGAAAAACCTAAAATACCAAATTACAGAAAATTCGGTCTTAAGAACGTGCCCATACTCCCCAAAATACCAAAAACCAATATAGACACACACACATACGACATTCCTTCTCAACGACCTACACATACCATCTCATTTCAATTACCGCCATGAAAAATAATTAATGTTAATAGCCCATCAAAAAAAAAAACGGAGACAACCTAATAGATAATAAAAAGCCACAGAAGCCGCAGAATACCCCCCAACAAAACTAATTAAAGTTAATTATTCAAAATTAACCCGTTATATACATGTCAGGCTGGTTGTTGGTGACTTATCCTTATGCGATGATATCCTTGTAACTTGTAACACCATTTTTGTGATTAGCAATAAATTAAATTGATATCGTCGTCGTCGTAATCATCATTATCGCATATAAATTAATATAATTTATTGAAAATTATAATAAGTGTTTGAAAATTATCCACTGACACAGCTCAGCAGCAACGACAACGTCGTCGATGTTAGTAGTTACCATTGAAATGCTGAATAAATGATTTTGATATCCCAGCGCGATTTTCCTTTACCACCGTCAAAATAAAAAATGGTAATGATATACAATTATTTATTGCCAACCAAGCCACTTGCAATGCGATACTTCGAGGTGCACACACACACACCACTACACACAGACATCCATGGAGGGAATTCAGGCGAACAGGAATCGATGATGATGATGATGTTGGTAGTAACCCTAACCGCCATGAATCTCATAAATAATAACTGTTATAATCCGCATAATTTGCCTATACTCATATGTGAATGGCACACACATTCACACGTCAATGTCGGCACAGTGGTCGGTATGTTTTCTTTTAATTTTATTTTTCAAAAATTTGTATTTCCATTTAAATATCTTTTAGAAGAAAAATTCAAGTTGGGAAAAATTCGTTTTGAAGGAAACTAGTTGTTAAGTTCGACCTGGTCAACTTTTAATACATAAAATCGATTTGGGAACTATGCTGGTAGGTAAAATACTGGAGCAAATGAAATACCAAACGATCGACACTCAGGTTGGAAAAAAATGGGTTGGGACCTTGAAAATACCTGAAATTGACGCGGGGCCCTTTTAGGGGGACTATAACGAAAAAGTATCTTATATTGAAAAGGTGCTGTGAAAAGATCGCGTTATGCTTCGTAGTGCTAAAATATAGTCACTTAGGTTGAAAAATGGTGACATGAACGATGTAAATACCTACAAAGGGACTGTATTTTATGTGGTGGGGGCTAACCTAAAGATCGACCGATAATTATAATTTTTGGTAGGTTGGTTACCCAAAAACTTGGGCCAATATTAATAATTTTTAGTGGCAAGGTTCTCTATACACCGAAAACCCAAATTACCAAATTACCGCCAATTCTTAAGAAAGTACCAAATATTAGGGTGTACCGTTATATGTGTTTAATAATTTTTTGTATGAATATTCGCTATACATTGAGAGCCCAAAATACCAAATTACAGCCAATTCGGTTGAAAACCGTGTCAAGCAACCTCGAATTTTTGGGTGTGCCGTTATAGGGGGCTATCCTCAAACTTGGGCCAATATTAAAAATTTTTAGTGAGAAGGTTCTCTATACGCCGAAAACCCAAAATACGAAATTACAGCCAATTCGGTCTTAAGAACGTACTCATACTCCTCAAAAACCAAATATTAGGGTGTACCGTTTTATGGAGGCAGGCAATATCAAAAAGTGAACCGATGTATCCCATTTGCAATACCAAACATCCTAGGTGTAATTGCAATGTCTGTGCAACATTTTAGAGCACTATCTAAATTATTGCGAATTCTATCGTGATTTCAACCAAGGGACAGATATAGCAAATTTGAAATAGACATTTTATTCTGATCAAGAAAATATACACATTATAAGGGTCTATGGTGAATATTTCGAGGTTTTTTATGGAATAACAAACCCTTATACCCTGGGGGAAACCACTGTCTGTTGTGTGTGTGTGTGTGTTTTTTTTTTCTTTAACTGGTTAAAAAATGTAAGTCAAACTCTTCCCCCGTTGCCCACTTTTCATTTCTAACGATATAGAAATGTGCATTTAACCCATTTTGATTTCTAATGAAATATTAATGAACTTGTATTCACATGTCAGCTACACTTGCTTCAACAACCCCCATCACACCACAGCACTCTACAATAACCATCTACCCCACCCCCTCCATTTTATCAACATGCAATTTCATGAATATATACGTAGATAAGTAGTATCAACAAAATATATGTACATATATTTATCGTGTTTCGTTTCAAAAAAGAAAATTTGGGAAGTTAAGCCCATCCCCCAAGCACAAGAGCATGAGGATTAAATACAATAACAACAAGCAACAACACAGCAAACAGGACAAGTGGAATACTCCACAAACAAACACACACAAGAGTCTCTTAAATTAACCAAATTGTCAAAGGAAATTCACAGAGAGAGAGAGCGCGCGTGTGTGTGTGGGAGAGAGTAGACATTTGTATAAGTTGTCTAGCATACTTTTAGGCATATTCAAATTCGAAATAAAAAGCTCTATGATAAAAACGACAGAAAAAAGCTTATTTCTCACAACAAATTTCACAGTGAGGTATTACAGGAAAATGTTGTTACAAAAATTGTTTCACAATGGAATTCCTTTGTATACCAACCCTCCTCCTCCTCTTTGTACTCCAATCCCCCCGCCCAAGGGATAAATTCGAATTATGTTGGGGTAGTTGGTCTTCGTCTTAAAATTTTTAAGTTACTTAATTTGGATGGGTCAGGAGAAACTCCATTATTCAATGTAAACAACAACAACAACGACCACAATTGTAGACTGATGATGATGTATGGAATTGCCTTCGGAGATTATTAGCTATTTACATGGAATTTAAAGTATAGGGCTTCCAACAAAGCCAAACAAACAAAACATTTGATATGCCTAGACCACAATCTAAACAACACAATAAATCATGAACGATCCAGTAATTAGGTGAATGGATTTGAAGTTCATGTAAGGACAATACGAGGTGTTGTAGAACAATTACACCTTAGATTTTAAGTAGAGCAATTGATCGCTGCATTTGCAGTTGGGTCAAGATAATTTTTTATGGGCAAATGTCGAATGGTAATAGTTTTGATGATTTCTTTAGGGGTAAACAAATAAAAAAATTTTGGAGTGGGCCGATCAGAATTCAAAAATATATAAAACCAGTGAGCGGAGCAGTATAGTCGGACGGGGCCGACCATACGATACCCTACACAACTACCACGGAAATCAAACTTTCTGCGGATGTTTATTCCGAGCCTGGGCAATATTTCGTGATATTTGCACCCTCTTGCCCGATTAGAGGTAAAAAGCACCTCTTCCTTACACTGACATATTTTCCGAATATTACGAGTATTGAGTACAGCTATTGTCCAGATTCCCTACACGATGGGTTGTGTTGTGATGTTCGGCTTTCATTTGTTCGGCTTTCAAAAAATTAAGTTTTCGGTCCACTTCATTCCAAAATTATTATCTGATCAACACCGAAATTTATAGGCGTTGTCCTTGACCATAACTGGAACCTAATGGCACATTTCGAAGCGATTAGCGGTATAGTTCCGCTTTCTAGAGTGATAATGGGTTACTAAATAATATACGAATACGGAGATACCTGTAAATATTTAGGTGTAACTCCAACATCCGAGAACATACAATAATATAATTGGTATTAATTTAAAGGTCAACCACTCCTCTTGGATATAATATCAACTTTTCGGGTCTATGTCCTTCAGGGGTAAATATATACGCTATAGAATACAAATTTTGTCATTTTTCACACAAAAGTCAGGGTCCATTTGACCCGCTAAATATTGACCGATCTTTATCAAAACAGGCATGCTTATTCTTTGGCCCAATCCCCTTCTCCATGCAAAATTTCACGATGTTCGGGCCATTATTGCGGCCTCTGGAGCGACCAGAAAACCCGACAAAAATTTAGTATTTGGTCCATTTCATCCCCTAAATATTAACCGATCTTTCCCAAAAACAATGACCAGAACCCATCCTACATGCAAAATTTCGTGAAGATTGGTCCATAACTGTGGCCTGTATCGTGTTTACAAATTATAATGGACAGACGGACGGACGGACACACATGTCTAGATCGACTCAGCTAGTCGAGATATGACGATCGGTATACTTAAAGGTGGGTCTAGGACCAATATTTCGCGGTGTTACAAACTTTTGGGGCTGCACAAAGCTATAATACCCTGACAACATAGTTGTGTAGGGTATAATTAGAGCATCATGTCCAAAAACCGTCTTAAAAACCGAATATTGGGGGTACCGTTATATCGAGTCTATATCTAGTTATTAGGTTCGATTGGGCTGATCTTTTAATAATCGTGAATGAAAGATTTGACAATAATTAAAACCAATATTGATACTTTTCCTTATTAAGACCCAAGTTGTAGAATTTCTGAAACTTATGTTAATTTTTTGAGATTTTACTCTCTTCAGACATAAATTAGTCGCTATATTTGTGCAAAAAGACATAAGAAAGGTCTCCTTTTCAGCCAAATAAAATATTAATAATAACAACAATAAACTCTGTACTCACTTTGTTATCACTATCTGTTGTATTGCCAGAACCGAAACTGGCTAAGGAACATCTGTCGTGATCATTTTCAGTCAATGGATCATCTAGATCTCGCGACGAGCGTTGTGATGAACCAGAATTCTTGGCTGGTGATTTTGGCAGGGTAAGTGATGTGCCAGAGAAGCAGGATTCTTGCATGACCTCACGTAGTTTTTTGGTCCAAATCTGTGGAAAAGAAACGACAAACAAAAAATAATAAATCAAAACAATCAAATTTGAAAATATTGTTTATAATGGTTCAGCTGCTAAAGGTCAACTTATGTAAAAATACTCCCTTATATTTTATAAGGGATTAGATCTCCGTAAAGTATTCCTTCATCTTGTATAAAAAATCAAACTTGTTTATAAAGGCCCTCTTCAGTTGTGTACAAAGACTACATGGGTTTCAGTGTGTCTTTCTCAAGACTGTCGATGAGTAATATAAAGACTATATTTATAAAAGACTAGATCGTCTATAAAGATCGTCTATCGTCTATAAAGACTCTCTATTTTGAAGACTCCCTGTTTCAGCTAGTCTGCAAAAAATCTTTCCAGCTTATTTTGAAATAATTCCTCCAGAGATAGTTGACGAAGTGGAGGGTCATCATGAAATACTTCCTCCTGCCTGTTGAAGGCCTTCTCCAGATCGTCTGCAAGGACTCCCTACAGCTCGTTCATTAGAAGCCCCTTTAGCTCGTCCCTCAGTTCGTCGGTAGAGATTCCCTCCGTTCGTTTGTAAAGAATCCCTCAGCTTGCCGATAAAAACACATTTCAGCTCGCCTAAGAAATAATCCACTCAGCTCGTCTATAAGGACGCCTTGAGCTCGTCTATGAAAGACTCTCTTCAGCTCGTCTATGAAAGACTCCCTTCAGCTCATCTATGAGAGACTCCGTTCAGCTCGTCTGTGAAAGACTCGTCTATGAGAGACTCCCTTCAGCTCGTCTATGAGAGACTCCCTTCAGCTCGTCTATGAGAGACTCCCTTCAGCTCGTCTATGAGAGACTCCCTTCAGCTCGTCTATGAGAGACTCCCTTCAGCTCGTCTATGAGAGACTCCCTTCAGCTAGTCTAAGACCCCCTTCAGCTCGTCTATGAGAGACTCCCTTCAGCTCATCTATGAGAGACTCCGTTCAGCTCGTCTATGAAAGACTCCCTTCAGCTCGTCTATGAAAGTCTCCCTTCAGCTCGTCTATGAAAGACTCCCTTCAGCTCGTCTAAGACACCCTTCAGCTCGTCTATGAAAGACTTCCTTCAGCTCGTCTATGAAAGACTCCCTTCAGCTCGTCTATGAAAGACTCCCTTCAGCTCGTCTATGAAAGACTGCCTTCAGCTCGTCTATGAGAGACTCCCTTCAGCTCGTCTATGAGAGACTCCCTTCAGCTCGTCTATGAGAGACTCCCTTCAGCTCGTCTATGAAAGACTCCCTTCAGCTCATCTATGAGAGACTCCGTTCAGCTCGTCTATGAAAGACTCCCTTCAGCTCGTCTATGAAAGACTCCCTTCAGCTCGTCTATGAAAGACTTCCTTCAGCTCGTCTATGAAAGACTCCCTTCAGCTCGTCTAGGAAAGAATCCCTTCATCTTGTCTATGAATGATTCCCTACAGCTCGTCTATGAAGATACCCTTCAACTTTATATAGACTCCCTTCAGAGATTTTGCGTATCGATTGTGGATCATAGTGATTGACATTGATGAAAGCATCGGCCGATATTTCACCTGCACAACAGAGGTGTGGGTGTTCTCAATGGTCACCTTTAATTGTCCGTGTTCTTTGCGTAACTGTTCAGCCTCCTGTAGACTATTGGATGTTACATAGATGGCCAAAACATAGCTTCGCCGTTTCGAATCCATGATGTAACTTGATTGGTATCATTTTGAAATGGCCACAGCTGTACAATTTGGCTCGCTTTGCCTCAGAAAGTTCTTCCAAATCAATTTCTCGTTTACGTAAAAAGTAAAGTAAATATTCAACCTGTTCCTGTGCCGTAAAGATGGGCATCTGCCATTGAAATGAAACCAGCCTTCAGTTCGTCTATAAAGACTCCGTTCAGCTCCTCTATAAAGACTCAGTCATTTCCCCCAACTTATATACAAAATTCTCTTCAGATTGTGTATAGAAACTCCTACCAATCAATCAGTTCGTCTGTATCATCTGCCTCTCCAGGTTGTCTGTGAAGACGCCTCAAACTAGACTCCCCAGATTGCCTATAAAGCTCTCTCTAATTCGTCTATAGATATAAAATCTATGGGACGAACTCCCTCCAACACGCATATAATAACTTCGTCATTAGCTCGTCTATAAAGAATCTCATGCTGGTCTATAAAGACACTATACAAATACTCTCTCAAACGTCTCTACAGAAAGAGACTAACTTCAGCTCGAAATTCCCTTTAAAACCCCATTCTTCTTCTCATCTTAGTCTTACCTGTTTGGTTTCTAAACTATTTGCTTTAAGTACAATGCGACAATCGGACAGCATGGGTGAGCGGCCAGTCCAAACGGCAAATTTCGTTTCATCGCCTTCAATGTGTTCAGTGATTCCAAGATCTATAAAGAAAGAAAAAACACCAACAATATTTATAAACTATTCGATATAATTTTCCTTCGATTTCACCCACCTGTTGTCATTAATTTACTCTTAAATTGATATTTAGCCGACCCGTTGGAATCTTTGACCTCTTTGGCGAACAGTAAATACATTTCAAATAGAAATACTCGTCTATCGCGACCCTTACGTATAAGCTGCTTGGTATCCCAGGCTTGGAATGCATCTTGCAAGACAACCTCACCCAAGCTGTCGATGGAAACATCACAGTTCTCCAGCAGTGACAGATGCATGGCATCGTTTGCCTTCTTGGGCACATTTAACATCACCTCAAGACCCTCTTTAATTTCACCATGTGATTCTTCACAGCACGAGAGGAGATCTTTGAGTAATAGCTGATATTTGGTAATTCTTTGCACCGGCTTGATCAAATACGCCGGCAGGGGATGCTCAACTTTGTGTTTGTGTTGCAACTCATCGAAGAAATTGCCGGCATGTTGCACCAGGAGGTTATTCGATGTTGGCTTATTCTTACAATAGTGTACATACATATCGAATTTACTGGCCCATGTGACGAAGCAATGGCCCACATCTTCGGGCATTGTTTCGTATTTTTCCAATTCCCGCAGGAAAATCTTATTGTGGAAATTGTAAATTTCCCGAATATTGCCAAAAATGATGTCCTCTTTGCCATGAAGGGCGGTCGGTACGCCTTGACCGAAACGGAATTCTTCCAGGAAACATTTAATGCATGTATCTAAATCTTTGACATAGGCCCGTTCGGTTTGCATTAGCTCAGCCATAATGAATTCTTTTCGGCGGGCCGATTTACGTTTCTCTTCGTTGATTTCCTTATTTGCAACGGTTGTTGAGGTAGTCAGCTTTGCTTCTAAAGTAGGATCTGAATGACGATCGTTCGACGAGGAGGATGATGTTATGGAACCGATGCCGGAACTCATTGATGTATTGGCATCGGATTCACCAATCATACCCAAAGATTTTTCTAATTGTTCCCTATATGAGTCCATGCGATTGCTAAAGTCCTTGTACCTACAGGAATGATAAGAAATAGGGAATTAATAAAGTTTTCTTTTTTTTATTAAAATCCTTTCTCCACTCACCTTTGATCCACCGAGGCCACCCATTGCTTAATCGAACTGGCATGAGCATGGCCCTTCTCCACCAAACTATCAGCTAATTGTATTAGAAGTTTAACACGTTCCCGTGTCTCTTTGGCTGTGCCACGAAATTCATTATGCTCTTTGAGCAAACCTTCGGTTTCTTCGCGGGTCTTACCCACCAAATTGGTGCGTGACGACAGATACGCTTCGCCCGTGTTGTGGATCCATTCAATTGCCTGTTTGGCACTGCGTTCGAATAGTACAAACTGTTGACACTGATCGAGCGACTTTTTGCGTTGTGTCCAAAATTCGAGAACTTGATTTTCCTGCGTGAGCAATTTATCTAAAATCGTCTTGACACGATTTTCACAATTACCCTGCGATTGATATTCGTAGTATTGCTGCGAGCGATTGGCATATTTAAGGAATGTTTCGGCGGTCCGACGAGCCAGGGTACATGCCTTGAGGAAGGCCTCTTTTTGTTCTTGATGTTTTGAGATGAGTTGAACAATTGTTTGAGCTTTATCGCTGGAACCGCCACCACCACACCAATCATCTTCACGGCGATATTCACGTTCCAGCGAGTCGAGAACAGAGCAAACTTGTTCGGCTGTTTTGTAGAAATTAATAGAGGCGGTGACAAGTTTGTGACGCTCCTCAGCGTAGGTTACCAACTGCTGCCATTTTTTGGTAACATCATCGGATATTTCACGTATCGACTGGGGATCATAGTGATTGGCATTGATGAGAGCATCGGCTCGATATTTCACCTGCACCGCAGACGTGTGAGTCTTTTCAATGGCCACCTGGAATTGCTCGTGTTCTTTGCGTAACTGTTCGGCCTCCTGTAGGCTGTTGGGTGTTACAAAGCTGGCCACCAACATGGCTTCACCGTTCCGTATCCAGGAAATAACTTGATTGGCATCATTTTGAAATTGGCACAGCTGTACAGCCTGTTCCAATTTGGCTCGCTTCGCCTCGGATAGTTCCTCCAAATCAATTTCTCTTTCACGTAAGAAATTGAGCAGATATTCAATACGTGCCTGGGCCGTGTGAGTGGCATCTGCCATTGAAATGAAACCAGCCGACTCAAACATTTGCAGTAGTTCTTGGCCCTGTTCCAATACTTCATAGGTGGCATTTTGTATATCACTTACAGATTCGTTGTGCATGCGTATCAACTGTTCGGCTTTTTGATAATCTCTTGACAAATCGGCATGCTGTAACTCTTCCGACCATATTTCCAATTGTGAGGACAACTCCATGGCATCGCGTTCAAAGTAACGCAAACGTAAAATTAAATCTGCACGGAATTTCCGAGCAGACCACAACTCTTCTAGTTCTACCTTTTGTTTGGAGAGTTTTTCCAAGGCCGCTTCCAATGCCGATACGGAACCGGTGTTATCGGCATACTCTAGCGAACGCATTTCTTGCAGCAAGGCCTCACCCTGGGCAATGGTTTGCATACAACCTTTCAGGGTGTTGTCCTGTTGCTCGCGATATTGTTGCAAAAGTCTTTCAATGCCCTCCAGATTCTCCTGAGATAACATGGTCTCATCGCTGGAAACATCGGCTCTTAGCTGATCTATCCAGGCGGTGACCTCCTTTTCATGGGTGTAAAAAATTACAGCCATGTCAAGGCGTCGCCGTCTTTGCTCCACACGTTCAGCAAAGCTGGCCACCTGTATTTCCAGCTCATGAGCAACCGAGTATATCTCATTGGGATCGGCCTCACCACTGCGTGCCAATTCATCGGCCGCAGCCAATAACTTCTCCGCATTGCTGTAGGTATTCTGGGCAACATTTTCGAAATGTTCGTGAGACTTTTGATAGACTCGGGCCTTCTGTAGGTTGCGGCCAATGCCGGTATTCTTACGTACAAACACCTCACCGTGATTCTTTAACCAGTCCAAGACCTGTTTGACATCCTCTTGGAATAGTCGCAGGGCCAGGGTTTGGTGTAGACGTATTTTTTCTTGATGCCATTTCGATTCGAGCGAGCGGTGATGGCCTAAAATTTGATGGATGACGGCGAGCACGTGAGACGCCCCCTCACTGTAATCGGCAGCGGGATTTTGCCGGCCATATTTGTTGTAGCTGCTGTTTTTGCGATGATCGGGTACCCCAGGCGGGGGTGGTTGATTGCAAACCTGGACCAAATGATCCAATTGATAAAGTAATTTTTTACTGGTTGAGTGCACCTCAGTGTAGGCCTGGCACATGGCTTCGTACAGCGACTGATGGGTACGTATGGCCGTTTCCAAACTTTGTATATCTGAGGGTAGAGGCTGCGAGGCTTGACATGCAGCAGCCCATGAGGCAACACTGTTACAATATTGTTCAGCTTTGTGATGAAAAAGGACACTTAGCTGCAAAACAGCTGTCCTTTCATCGAGTCCAGCGGCAAAATCTTTCCAGGTGCGATCGAGGCGTGTGGCTAGGGTCTTTATGTTTTGCGCAGCATAATGTTGACTTTCAATTAGGCGCGAGGCTACCGCCAATATGCGATCTATATTCACCGAAACATTCATTGAGGCCACAGCAAATTTTTGATGTTCATCCTGCAGCGATTTGGCCACCGAATAATTATGGCCTATTTCCACATAGGACATTTGAAAAACATCACGATTGTGCAAGATCCAATCGAACATTTTCTCACAGTCCTGTTCGAATAGGCGCCACTGGAAACATTGATCGAGTTTGACTTTTTTATGCTGCCACAGGGTGAGCAAACGCTGCTGGCCCGAATGGATGAGGTCAATTTGTCTTAAAGCTTTGCTGATCGCGGCCGACATATCGGGATTGTTGGTGGGCACACGGTATGGTTGTGAGGCATTTTGTGATTGGGATGAGGGGCCGGAATCGTTGACACCACCGCCGCCAACACATTCGGCACCGGAGGTACCCTAGAGAGAAAGAAAAGAAATTAGTTTTTTTTTTTTAATTTGGATAATAAATTGCAACTTACCGCCCCACCACTGCCCCCTCCACTCATATTAATTTTGGCCAATAGCTTTTTACCCTGCACATCCAAATCCTCAATGGGCAGCTTGAGGATTTTCTTCTTCATCTCATTGTGATGATCGAGGGCATGTCGTGCCCCATTTACATCCTCCGCAAAATCATTGCGCTGCAAGTCCTCCTGCAGGTCGTCAATGCGATCGGCTAAATCACTGGCCTGCCAAAAGAAATCCTCAATGGCCAAACGGGCATCGGTCCACTGTTGATGATCGTACATTTGATTGCCGTCAAAGTCACCCGTCAATTGGCTCGGTTCGGCTATCTTATTAAGGGCCTCAATCGATATTGTCGACGTTTCGAATTTGTATTTGTGCGACGAAATGGAGGCACGTTGTTTTTGCCAAAAATTATCCGGTTTTATGATGACCACATTGTGGATGTTGGCACTGAAATGCTCCTGCAACACTTTCAATATGGCCTTGACATTCGTTGAACAATTGCCATTGCCGCGCATATCAATGATGACAGTGAAGCCTAGATTTTTTGCCGAATCGCTGCAAGGAAAGAGGGAGAAAAGAGAAATGAAGAAAAAATCTCATTACTATAGGCAATAAAAGCAAGAAAAAAAAAATAATAGAAAAAATAATGAACAAATGGAGGGAGGGAAAGATGAGCCTAACATGTGTGTAACATAACCTAATGGGTCCCCCAACAACCTTCTCCCTCAGCATCCGAATCCAAGAGTAAAGTGAGGAATAGAAAAAAAATCTATTAAATCTTTTCCCCAAGACCTGTCAACGTTGAGAGCGTACAACGAAACTATACTAAAGACACTTCCTTTATACAATTGCCAGTAGTTCCGCTCCCCCCACCGGCACTCTTTACAACCCCTTTACTCATGGCATCATTATGGCCCATTAAATGAAAGAAAACAACAGCAAAAAGTAAATATGGACCAATAGAAGAGGAAGACGAAGTACACAATTCACATGCCCATACACTTTCTGTGTGGGTATGTGTGAAGTAGTTTGTACCCATCCCCCAGCCCCTTTTTCCAAACAACAGTCAGCCACTCAGTTCCGCATTTATGTTGAAAGTTGGATGGCAATGGAGAAGGGCAGGGGTGTGAAGAAGAATGCATTCACAATTGAAAGTCATGCATTGCGTTAGAATTCTTTGCAACTGCAAGAGGTAGGGCGGCAGGCAGCCTGGCTGCCTATAACATATGGAAATGGATCGATGCAATGGATGGATGCCGGTTGATGATGGGGTGTTAAGTCATTTTAAATAGTATAAAGTTCGGAACAAAATATACAAATACAATGTCCAACCCCGTTGTATTGCAACAAAAAAACTCAACAAAAAGAAAAGCATGTTTGCTCTTGGTTGGATGGACATAAATAATGAATTACTCTCAAGTCCACATTCAAAATATGAACTATCCTTACATTTGGATAGTTGTGAGATTTGAAAGATTAACAAAAGAATCATTCAAGCGAATGTCAGGTTAGATAAAAAATCCAAAAAGGATACATCTTTTTTTAAATAAGGCTTGCCTGATAGCCATAAATATGAAATCCTCATGGCCCCTATGGCCAAGAAGTTGGAACATTGCCTATACAAATTAAAATTCCGATATAAATTAGGGTTATCAATGACATCTAAAAATAAATTCTACATCACGAATTAGAATATCGCTTAATTATATATAATAAATAAACGGCTTTACGAAAATTGAAAAAAATGCAAAATACGCTGAACTAATTGAAAAGAAGAGATTTATAGCTGTGTCTGTGATACGACTAGGTATTGCAAATTGAACGTGCTCAGAGCTGCATTTTATGTCGATCTTAAAACAGATTTATTTAAACGGGGTTTCTAATGGAAGGGAGGAGGCGCTAAAGCAAAGCGTAGTAGGGGAATAACAAGCTAGAAATGGTTAAAGAACAAAAAATCTGAACTGATATTGAATTTGAAAGGGGTTGACAGGCATAGAGAATAATTTCTTCAATTGAAGTAAGCGGGTTTCTAAACCCCAGAATCTGCCTAAATATTATTTCCGGATAATCACTCTAGATTTTGAAAAGTTGTAAGAAAGTCCTGGAGTCCTTCTCTCCGCCTTCGTGGATCAGAGCTGAATGCTAACGGACGCGTCCACAGGTTGTGAATAGTGGGAAGCCCAATATTATTTATTGGGTAGCTGTGAATAGCAAATAAACAGTCGCGCACAATCAGCGGGCTCAGGGGTTTCGAAGGAAATGACCGAGTGCCGATGATCCCTGAGCCGACCAGGCGAGAATGGCGCCTCTAAATAACCATCTCAAAGGTGGTCTCGGTTATTACCTTTTAAAGTAACCCATCAGCGTTCTACGATTTGCAGTCAGGGTCCCGACTGTATTAGAACGGAGCCTTGTTGATACATGTGCGCCTCAACAAGCTTATTCAGGCTTAGCTGCCAAGCCCTTGCCATGGTCGACCTCAATCCCTCACATACAGCACATTCTACGGTCACTACGGTGACAAACACGGTAGCGACCATGGTTACCCGAAGCAAGGAGAGTCCTCCCTATTTAAAACTTTAAAACGTATAATATCATTCGGAGAACACACCTAGGCTTTCTATGGATAGAATATCTATTACGGGAATTCTATATATGGTATATCATACTCATAAGCCTGAGGGTCTAAAACCCTGAGATATACGGTTTTAGACCCTCAGTCTTATGGCGAATGATACATTTTGATACGGTAAAAATGTGTCTCATCGAAGTATTGATCGCGATATTGTTGCAAAAGACTTTCAATGTCCTCAAGTTTCTCCTGAGATAACATGGTCTCCTCGCTGGTAACATCGGCTCTTAGCTGAGCTATCCAGGTGGTGACCTTCTTTTCATGGTTGTAAAAGATTACAGCCATGTCAAGGCGTCACCGTCATTGCTTCACACGTTCAGCAAAGCTGGCTACCTGTATTTCCAGCTCATGAGCAACCGAGTATGTCTCATTGGGATCGGCCTCACCACTGCACTGTGTGAATAGAATTTGATGGATGACGGCGAGCATGTGAAACGCTCCCTCACTGTAATCGGCAGCGGGATTTTGCCAGCCATATTTGTTGTAGCTGCTGTTTTGCGATGATCGGGTACGCCAGGCGGGGGTGGACCAAATGGTGGGCTTCGGTATAGGCCTGGCACATGGCTTCGTACAGCGACATATGGGTATGTACGTTTCATCCTAGCTTTGCATATCTTAATATTTCTTCCAATCTTAGTTTAAGTTCGAAATGGGGAATATAGGTCCACTATCACAAAATGTTCAAAATTGTGAAAAAAAATTAATTTTATAATATTATGCGAACGGACTATCCGATTAACTATACAAAGCCTAAATGTAGTGCGAAGATAGGCCCATTGGTCCACTGCTTCTGGTACCGTGGAATAGGTACCAGAAGCAGTGGACCAATGGGCAGGGTCAAAATTTTTCATACTTATAAATCCAATATCATGCGAATTGAATGTCCGATTTGAATCAAACTTTGCACAACCAGTTACCTTTACCAAACCTAGATTAAGTTTGTAGATGGTACCCATTGTTCCACTCCGCAACAAAGGGTAAACAATTTTCAAAAAATTTTTGTATCTATGAATATTAGGCGTATTGAGTGTCCGATTTGAAGCAAACTTTGCTCAACCTATCTATGAAATAATATTCTTAAAAAGATCGATCCGGCATAGCATGTAAAACATACTCCTTATATTACAACAACAAATTACAATAACGTCATGATGATGATTATGCTGAATAAATTAATAATTTGTGTTTATTATCTACAATATGAAATGCAATATCACACAATCTAACATCCTGCCCTACTACAAAGAGTGGTGGATGATCTTCAAGAGTAGTATCCGTGATTGGCAATAGTCACGAAATCATTTCCTCTTTTAATTAACATTCGTGCTAAAATCAAACCATAATTTTTGAAGGGATGAATTTTTTGTTTGCAAAAAATTTTTGAAAATTTGTGCATTTAAGCACAACGTCGTAGGGGTGAGTAGTTGGTATGGCATGACAGGGGGGCTATGTATATTTAAAAATAATCTGCTAGATGGTAGGTCTGGTAGTTAGTAGGTCTTTCTTACTTTACGAAAGTATGAAAAATCAATGAGAGAGAACGACCGCGAACAACCAATAGCAGAAAAACAGAAAAGGATCATTAAACTGCACGCACAAACACGCAGCAAGACACACACACTAACAATAAAAAATATAAACATCAAATTCGTATGCATTGCATTTTGGCTTTTTGTTTTGGTCGACAACGATGATGATGGCGGTGATGATGATGATGAATCATTACCCCAATCGACGTCAGTCGCCACCACCAAAAACAGCAAGCTGCCGGGCCACTAGGATTGTCATACTAAAAAAAAAAACGAAACAAAACAAAAAAGAGACAATTTTGCACAAGTTTGCACTTGTTGAGAGGGAGCAGCAAATCGACGACAACAGATCATAACCAAATGGCCTGGGGGGCCCAAGAAAATGAAGGCTTCTTGATCACACCCAATTAAATAAAAAAAACGAAATAAACAAATTCCATTTCTTTCAGTGTACATTTCAGTGGCATTCTCAGAATTTCAATAAGCCTTTATGCATTCATATCCAGACGGCGGACGACATTGTTGTTGTTGTTGTCGACGACGACGTCTTCGTTGTTGGTTTGTGTTGCTGTCGTCAGTCAGTTTGTCCCAAATGCGTATAAACAGAATAAAATATAAGGAAAATTGTATTTTTTTATTTTGTTTCCATTTTGTTTCCATTTTTTTTTTGTTCCGAACCAAAAGTAGGAACAAAGTACAAAATTTATAATAAGGGATATATTATGGGTATGGTATGGCTGTGATGTGCTGTATTGCAAGACATAATTATATGTAGAAAGACTTTGGAACAAAGCTCCTAAAAATTGAGGTTGTTAGGGGAAAAACCACTGAAACGATACTAACAAAAGGCATTTGTCAATAAAGAAACAACTTTTCTGGACAGAACTCAAGATATGGAACTTTTCTTAGGTCTTCTAAAAAATAATATCCTTTTGTTGTTTATACCCTCAGCCTCAGTATATACACTTTGATACGGTGAAAATCTATGCCTCATCGAAATATTGGTTTTAGACTCCATGTTTCTTTGGACCAAATCCGTTTCAGAAAATTGGAGGTTGATTTACACATGTCCGTCCGTCCGTTCGATGTTCGTCTGTCTGGCTGGTGCTCCCGATAACTCTCGAAGGCAGCAACCGATTTCATTTAAACTTTCCACATCTTAATATTTCTTCCAAACTTAGTTTAAGTTCGAAGATGAGGAATATCGGTCCACTCCTTCTGGTACCTACCCCACAAAATGGTCAGAATTGTGCTAAAAATTAATTTTATTATAACATGCAAACGGACTATCCGATTTTAACGAAAATTTGTACAACCTATTATCTTTACCAAGTTTAGATCAAGTTTGAAGATGGGACCCATTGGTCTACTCTTTCTGGTACCTCCCCCACAGCGGGTCAAAATTTTCAATATTTGTATTACCAATATCAAGCTAATGGAAGGTCCATTTTGAACCAAACTTTGCACAACCTCTTACCTTTACCAAAAATGGGACCCATTGGTCCACTCGTTCTGGTAATTCCCCCACGAATGGTCAAATTTTTCAATATTTGTAAATCCAAAATCAGGCGAATGGAATGTCATATTTAAACCAAACCTTGCACAACCTGTTCGTTAATAACCCTATATCAATTCCGAAGACGGGACCCAGTAGTCCACTCCCTCCGGTACCTCCCTCATGGTCAATGGTCAATATTTTATAAAATGTTTTCAACATTAAATCCGAAACCTCTTTGTTAAAAACAAATTTCTTTTATAAAGCTAATAATAAAATCTGTGTGTAATTCTGAAGAACTCCATAGGCTGGGGGTTTATAACTGTCAGCAACACCTGACACTTTTTTACTTTTTCTTTAGGGTCTTCAGATAGAACCATACCTAATGAAATATCCTATGAGAGTCTTCTCTTGAGATCATCTATAGGTATATAACTCCCCTCAAATCTCTAATAGGTAATTTCCCTTCATGCCTTCCATAGATAGAAAATCTCCCACTGGGTTGCTAACATTTTATTACCCTTCTCAGGTTTTACATATCTTATTTATATACATTCCACAAGACTTTTACAGAAGAATGAAGAACCTACAGGTTCTCTATACGCCATCATCAAAGATCATTTTCACTTGTTCTACATATGGTACAATCTCTTCAGGTATTCGATAAGTAAAAATTACGAGTTTATAAAAAAACATTCTCAAGTCTTACATAGGTAGAAATCTTGTTTTCGAACTTCTTTGGAAGAATGCAATGTCCACGTTTTTTATAAGCGGACAATATAGTGTTCCTGTCACTGTTCCTCCATGAAGAGAAGATATTTGATGAATAGACAGAGGACTCATCTAGGATATTCTATGGCTGGAGAAAGTCCTATTACAAATATTCTTAATAGCTGGAATAAACTCTTCATGTCTACTATAAAACCAAAGCCTTTTTTTTTCGATCGACAGGGAGGAATGTCATAGGTCGTCTATATATAGAAAATATCCTTCAACTTATCGATATAAATTTGTGAGGATATGTATAAATAAAATACACATTTTAAATTTCCTAAAACCAAACCTTTTTTGATCGACAGGGAGGAATGGCATGTCATCTATATATAGAAAATCTCATTCAACTTATCGATAAAAATTTTAAACTCTTTCGTAATGTCCTGTGTAGATAAATGACATATTTTAAATTGCCTATGCACGAAACATCCTATTCAGATGTTCACTAGATTGAAGACTTCCTATAATTAAAACAGAAAACCGTCTTCATTTTTTAAGGATAAAGCCAGATATAGATAGAACATCTACATCAGCTTTAATTCACTTATTTTGTACTTCAAAGGGACGTTGGCAGATAATCCGCCACTGCTTTATTTTTGCACACCTTGGAGCGTTTTCATTGTGTCCAGTTGTGGCTGGAATAACTCTCGAATGAATTTTGGAGGGAAATGATTAAGCCATGTTCCTTTATCGATGTATAGAAACCCCATTTCCTGAATGTTTTCCAAACTGCATGAAACGCATCAACAGCCAGCATAAACACCTACACCAAAAAAAGTGACAATAACAAATATATTTACTATTTTCCTCTTTTACCATACCTTCTATAACCAAAATGCATTCATTATTGTAAAGTATGAACCGAAAAAATAAATCCAAACCCTCGTGGTATGTCCCGATAGATATCACATAAATTATCTTTATGTGTTTGACAACAAAACAATATTGTTTTTGTTAGTTTTTACTGTCGGTCTTATCAGTTTTTGTTTTCTTTTTCTAAATTTTTGGAATATATGAAAAGGTAAATGGCACCAGAAACCGGTTTTACAATTTTTGCCAGATTAGCTCAAAAGACTTCTTAGGGTAAACTAATATTTGTTTAATTTTAAACTAAATACATAATTCATATTGAATTTTAGGCATATTTTTCTTAGACACACAAACGTCAACACAAGTTATCACACTTCAGGTGTGTTAGACTTTTTGTGGTCTATCGGTAAATTTCCAACATTTATGGAGTAATATTTTAGACAATTTCTTTCACATAATAACTGATAACTGAATATGGAGGGGTTTTAAGGAAATATGTTTTTTAAACTTGATATGTAAATATTTTCTCCAAAAAACAGTGTGAAATATCTGCAGGTCAAAAGGTCATATCGTAAAGACATTTGCAATTGCAATTGAGAATATCGCATCGATACCAAATAAGTCATATAGTACACAAAACAAATTATTCCATAATAGAATTGTTGTCGGTTCCCATGCATTCGTCATGCATCATAATGGGAATTCCAATTGACACTGAATTAGACAATTCATATTTTTAAGTGTACCGTCTATGCAATCGATCATGTTTCCAAATTTTTATTTAATCCTTCTTTTTCCTTATCATAGGTACAAATAACTATATGTAAAAAAAATGAATAATCATTTAATAAATTAAAACAACAACAATATATCCACACATTCAACATACCTTGGTATCATTATTAAATAGCTAAGTAAACGCCTTAAATCATCTGGTTTTAAACGATCACGTCGAGGCGTTGCCGGAAAGCATAGGATCGGACCACCACGTCTATCCCTACCACCGGTAAGGAAGACGACGCGCTCCTGCAACAAGGTAAGAATGTCGCGAGCGCGTTGCCCGTCCATGATGATGGAGGTAGGGGTTTACTGGTAATGATGTTAAATCCGCTGCACTACTAAATCAAGTTAAGTTTGTAAAGAATTTGTTCACGTATTCACAATTGGATTTGTTTATTTTTGGTTGGGCCAGATGCAGGGCAGTTAATAATATTTTTCTTGGAATTTTATTTAATACTACACTATCGACGAGCACACACAATTTATGTGTGGAATTTTGTTTAATTTGTATTTCTTTTATTTTGTATATTTTTTTTTTCTTATTCTTTGTTTGTTATTTCTTCTTATTTCATAATTAGCAGAGGTTTAAATTTGCGATTTTTGTTGTTGTTGCATTAGATGATTTTAGGATATTTCGTATATTTATCGATTTTTGCAAAATTTTGGCAAACATTTTCAGGGCCATCCTGGGTTGAAACACAAAAATATTATAAAAACTCTCACACGGGCACTGGCGCGGCGTACAACAACAAACTACTACACCGAGAATAAAAATTCACAAAACAAAACGTTTTTTGTTCGATATGTGACAAGAACAGAACAGAGCAGAGCAGCAGTGCACGCGTAAAAGAGCACAGCACAGTCGGGCAGGCATCCGCAAAACAGCAAAAGTCATGACAAAATAATATTCACACACAAGAACAAAACAGCAACAACAACAAAAGTATAAAGAAAAAACATAAAACAATGATAAATGAAAATCGCAAAAATGAAAACAAAACTACACCACCATCCCAGGCAGCCACCAGACAAACACACACACACTCAACACAGGCCAGCCAAAACATAACACAAACACACCGACGACACCAGGCAAATAATGGTGCTCTGCTCTCACGACGACGGCGTCAACGTCAAAACACTGTCAGCAAGTGTGTGTTGATGATTTCTTTCCTCTGTTCGTTCTCTGTTTGTTCTTTTTTGTTATTTGGGCTTATTGTTTTGTTTTTTTCTTTTTTTGTTTTACTTTATTTGGATTTGTTAGTTGACGTTTGATTTACTTTTTAATTATAGCTTTCTTTTTTTCTTATACTTATTCTTCTTTTAAGGAAACACACATTTCTGCAATATTTTTTTTTTGCTTTTCTTTTTTAACACAATTATTATTTTATTTCACAATTCTTTAATTTTTTTCTCCATTCCTTTTTATTTGCTTTTAACAGAACTTGTAAAATTCAAAACAAGGCATGGCGGCGTATGACTGTGTCTATCGTCCTACACCACTGACAACTCTGGATAAGAGACAACCAACACATCTCGACAACGACATTTTTTACATATGGGTGTAGTAACACACAACACAAGAACCAACTGTCAACCAGCCAGTGAGCCAACTGACATTTGTTTGTTTTAAAATTCCACCCTCTTTGGTTTCATTTCCGAATTTACAACAAAATTAACGGCACCGACAGATTAAAATTTTTCATTTAGGGGAAATTAATATGAAAATATTTGGCCAAAGGCAAAACAGCATAACGGGAGGTGGAAGAGAGATAGAGGGCGGCAAATTGCACCACCAACATACATATCATATGTCACAGGGAAACAAATATGTAGCGCACTTAAACACACACACACTTTATTTCTTTTAACCATACGTTTGTTTTTACAGCCAGACAAATGAGGGGGAAACGCAAGAAAACACATTTACAAAAAAAAAATCAATCAATAAAAATTAAAACCACACTCGCTTCAATTCTTGTTCAATGATAGGTGGTATCCAACAAATATAATTCCATATTACATTAGCACAGCACAGTCCCAACAATGGTAAAAGACAGCGGCGCTTTCGTTGTTGTATTTTTTTTTTCATTTTACTCTTTCTTCCTTTCGTTGTTAAAGCCCTCTTTTATTTTACAACACATTAAGTTATTCTTTGGGCTGACTGACTGGCTGGTTGGCTGAGTTATGTGGTATTGTCTTGTTCTATAGAATAGGGAACAAGTCTCAGTCGTCGTCACTCACAGACCTCACCATCAAAGAAGAAAAATGAAAGAAATACACGCACCACAAACACCACTCAAACAAAAACCAACCAACAAACACACAGCACACACACACACATCTATACAATTGCTAAGATTTTTTCTTATTGTTGGTGGTGCCTCAAAAAACTGCTTCTTCTTCCTTTTAATGATGCTCATTGATTTTTTCGTCTATGCTCTTTTGCGGCATTAGGCATTTTTTCTTTTCACTTTTTTCCACATCAAATTGATTTTAATTCATTATACACTACCGAATATTGCAAATTTACATTGTTAATTACACTTTTCACATATTTTTTATCCGGGAAACATTAAAATTTCCCATAAATTTGTGATTTTTTCGCTACTACTATCAAATCATTAGAGTTGGGTAGTTCCGAAACGAACTAGTTCATTGGAACTATTCCGAGAAAGGAACGAACGGAACTAGTTCCAGTTCTTTAATTAATATAATTCCTTTCTCTGATCCAGTTCCTTTTTTGAACTATTTGAAGCAAAGGAACTGTATGGAGCAAAGGAACTATAAAGAGCAAAGGAACTATATGGAGCAAAGGAATTATATATGGAAAAACGAAAAAAATATATGAATGATGAAAGAGAGAGATTCAAAAGAACTATGTAGGAGTCGGAACTATATGGAGCAAAGAAATTGTATGGACTAAAGGAATTATATGGAGCAAAGGTACTATATGGATCAAAGGAACTATATGGAGCAAAGGAACTATATATGGAAAAACGAAAAAAAAAAAAATAATAAAAGAGAGAGAGAGAGAGAGAGATTCAAAAGAACAGTGGGAAGCCTCCAAGACTCCAGCCTTCATAAAATTCGCTTGTTAATCTTCGTTCTGCCAAGACTCAAGCGACGTCGTACGCAAACCTTCGCCAACAAATGGTGTGTTCCAGTACTTTTTATACCCTCCACCATAGTATGGAGGGTATATTAATTTTGTCATTCCGTTTGTAACTCATCGAAATATTCATTTCCGACCCTATAAAGTATATATATTCTTGATCAGGGTAAAATTCTAAGACGATCTAGCCATGTCCGTCCGTCTGTTGTAATCACGCTATCTTCTGAAGGAATTGAGATAGGGTGCTGAAATTTTGCATAGGGTTGTCTTTTGTCTGCAGGCATGTCAAGTTCGAAGATGGGATATATCGGTCCACGTTTAGGCATAGCTCCCATATAAGGGTACCCCCCAATTTTCGGTATTTTGGGGTTCTTGAGCGCGTTTTTCAAGCGAATTTGTAGTAAATGTATCCACAAAAAATTATAAATATATGTCCACTTTTTCTTGTAGCCCCCATATAACGGTACCTCCTAATTTTCAGTATTTTTTGGGTTTTTATCGTATTTTTCACCGAATTGGCTGTAATTTAGTATTTTGAGTTCTTAGCAGGTACCAAATCTCTCCACAAAAAAATTTAAATATAGGTCAATTTTTTCGGATATCCCCCATATAAGGGTACCCCCCAATTTCGGTATTTTGGGGTTCTTGAGAGCGCTTTTCTACCGAATTCGCTGCAATTTTGTACATTGGGTTCATATTGCGTACCAAATATCTCTACTAAAAATTATAAATATCGGCCCACTTTTTCTGGTAGCCCCCATATAAGGGCACTCCATATTTTCGGTATTTTGAGGTTCTTAAGCGCGATTTTCAACCGAATTCGCTGAAATTTGGTACAGTGGGTTCATATTGGGTACCAAATATCTCTATTTAAAATTATAAATATCGGTCCACTTTTTATTTCAAATACCTGTGGTGGAGGGTATCCAAAGTTCGGCTCGGCCGAACTTAACGCTTTTTCACTTGTTTAATAGTAAAGCTAGTAAAAGGGAAACATTTCAAGTCTCAGAGTACAAAATAATTTGAAAAGTTCGGGAACGCAAATCTAGTAAATATGCCAAAATTAGATGGCAATACTTCAAAATCAACATAACAAAAAGTTTACAAAGAGAAAGCCATTTTGTTTTGTGCTCTCTTAAATTTGATTCAATGCTTTACCAGTTTTATGGGTTCAGGAACGGTTTTCGAGTAAAAAGTTGCAAAACTTGTAAAATTAGTAGATTCTTTTAGGTTTTGGAACGGAGCTAAAATAAAAACGACGACTGAAAAAATTGAAAAACGTTCCACCTGCTAACGAATGGCAGGAGAAGACAAAATGGCCGATAAAGATGAACTCAAAATGGTATAACCGAAAGTTTACGAATGAGGTTTAGGAAACCGTGTTGTTTACAAATTATGAAATTAGGGATAAGTAAATCGACTTTCGATTAATCGACTTTTTGTATTGAAAAGCCTAATGCCATGTACAGACGAGCGTTGTTCCCTCTCTCATTCGTGGTTCGACTCTTAATTATGAAGTAATTACATAGTTCAAAGGAACTACATTAAGGAACTAGTTCCTTTTTAAAAAAGAAACGAGAATGATCGATTGCCCAACTCTACAAATCATGTCGGTTGAAACTAGGGATAAACAAGTCGACTTTAGATTAATCGACTTTTTGTTGTCTAAAGACTAAAAATCGAAGTCGGCTTTTGTGTGCAGCGAGAATCAAAAAATCGATTTTCTGTTGTGACTTTTCGATTATTGCATTCTTAGTACTATCGTTATAATGAAAAAAAGAACAAAGAAAAAAATAACGGTTAAGAATTTTCGTTTTCTCGAATCGGCGCAATTTTATTTTTAGAATGACAAGGGAAGGTAAGAAAAATGTATAAAATATTTATTTATTGTAAAATTCATTTGTTTACATTTTTTCAGAACATTATTGACCATCTCTGTGCCGAAGTTTTGTGCCGAATTTTGTTCTTGACTTTTTTACCAACTGAAGAAAAATTGAAATGAATGGGAGGAGGAGATAAAATGGACGATAAAGGCCGAATTCAAAGTGGTATAACCAAAATGTTACGAATGAGGTTGGATGGAGACAAAATGAGAACCGTTATGTTTACAAAACATAGACCCACGTTACACTATTTGTCATGGTTATTCGTCATGAGAGCTTTTTTCTCTCGCATTTCTCTCATTGAGAGTAATTACAGTTGCTCTATTTATAATTTTGTAACAAGCGTACTTTTTGTTCACAAAAGGTGCGAGTTTACATGAACGAACCAAAACAAAAAGTAAATTTTTTTGGCGTTTGAAATGTAATTTATTTCAAACTAAATTGCATTAGTCGGAAAACTCGAAAATCGATTTTGAACAGGTTTGACAAAATCGAAAGATGGAAAATTCACCTTTAAATTGCAAAATACAACAACCACAAGGAAACGATAACACAAACGCATATCGTTTCCTTGTGGTTGTTGTAAAACATCGCGAAAATCGATTTTGGAAAACAGCTGTTTTTTCTCAAGTCTAATGACAAAATTTTCGACTTTGTTTACGTTTTCATAATGGAAAATAATGCATTTTAACAGCAAACTTGAGAGGTATCGATAATCAGCTGGTCTCCCTTGGTGACCTTATTTATAGGCCATGGCTTAGCCCTTTATAGTCAAAGGCAAAAATAGGAAAGTCGACTTTTACTCTCGTTACTCTCGACTACTAGTGGCAAATCATATCGGTTTAAACAGAGAATAAAGCCGCCAATACCGCTGTTTTGCCACGCCGTTCTGCGCAGTCGTCGTCACTATTGTGCAAGATCTATAGGCCGTGAGCAAGCCTTTTCTCTTACAGCATGTTTTCACATTTATCATACGTATATTATCGTTTGCATTGTTGCATATCTCCTTCAATGAGTTAGAATAAGACGTCTACAGTTCTAACTATCTAATCATTATCTGTACATGAAACTATGTTATCGAAATGAAGAAGAGACTTATGCGGTGTACATACTAGCATTTTTGAATGGCACTCTTCCTCAAATTTTGCTTGTTTGATAGTGTGGCCTCACATGTTTGTCATTCATCAGGCAACCACAAAAATATTTATGGTTGTTGGACAGTCAGTAATCGATAAAAAAACTGACAGTCAAAAATGATAGTGTGTACACCGCTTTAATAAATTTTACTTACAAATGGTCTGTTCCCGTACTGCAACAAATCTACTCGATTTTACAATTTTCTTCGATATCATAAAATAAAATTGTTGTTTATCGTAGTAAAAAGTAGATTCTTGCAGTACGGGAACAGACCATTACTTGTGCAAGATCTATTAATAAGGTCACGCAACTAAGGAAAGTCAGCTGTTTTCTCTCAAGTCTGATGTCAATAATGTGACTTGTTTACGTTTTTATAATGGAAATAATTCACAATAAAGGATTTTGAAAGCAAACTGAAGAGGCAGTTGATATCCAGCTGGTCTCGCTCAACGACCTTATTTATAGGCCTTGCTATTGTAAACGTCTACAACAACAAATTACATTTTTTTAGTTGGAATAGTCGTTTATACCTAGAGATGGTGTTTTACTTATTTTAATTTTTTTTAATTATAATTACGATAATATCGAATATGTACAAAATATATATGAAATTGGAACGGTTAATACCAGTAAATAAAAATGTATAATTTACTGGTATTATTTGTATCCTGCCTAAACACCACATTACCTTTAAATTCATTAAACAAACACGTTCCTGTGTTAACTGTTTGTAAGCCACCTGATGACGCCGTCAAAAATGACAGCGGTCTCAAATCACTCACGCAACTTTGTATTTCTCACAGCAAAGAGAAACCCAGGAACAACAGGAGCTCATCAAGTGCGTCAGACCTATCTTTTTGGGAGTAATCCTAGGAATTCGTCAACGATTTTCATCATTTTACATACAACCAGCAAACTGTTGTTGTTGCGTCTGAGTCCCAGACACATTTGACATTCTTCCATTGACATAGTTCGAGAAAATTTGCAAAAATTCTACGTAAAATAAAAACAACCTTTGAACATCGTAAAAACAAATCGAGATTAAAGAGCCCCAATACGGCGGAGGATAGCCATCCAACCCAAGTAGGATCAGTGAGTTTTGTAACAACAACAGCAGCCACGGAACAAAAAGGCCTATTGATATATGAGAATACGTCCGGACAGAGCATCTACTCTAATCCGAGCGTATTGAAAAAGGACGAGAAGGACGACAATTGTAGTATAGTAACAACGACACCACCACAACAAACGGGAGAACAGGCATATCAACAATTGCTACCAGCAATTAAGGACAGCAGCGGCGGCCACAGCATTAGACACGTCAAAGCAATGGAAACCAATCTAAATAAGGTACTGAATCAAGGAGTACGTCATCAATTAAATGGCTTGCTGTGCAAGTATACCAATGTTATGAAAGGTATGTGTGTGTGGCGCATATATATTAAACATATTGCGATTTATTTAATAATTTTTATGTTGTGTTCATTTAGGTTGGCAGTATAGATGGTTTACCGTGGATCCACAAAGCGGTATACTCAGTTATTATTTGTCGGACAGCACATCGGCCTCGGATGACGTACCCCCACCGGCTCATGTACTAAATGGTTCTCCACGTGGACAAGTACATTTGGCTGGTGCTGTTGTCTGTCCCAGTGATGAGGATTCTCGCACATTTTCAATCGGCTGTGCTTCCGGTGATACCATTAAGCTGAGAGCAGCCGATGCTAGGGCCCGCCAAGAATGGGTAGATGGTTTGCGGGCGGTTGTCGAAAGTCACACAAAAGCTATGGATATAAGTAATTCAACACCATTGCCACCGAGAGAGCTATTGGCCGCATCCGATGCAATGGCTTCGGCTCGTCAAGCTTTATACTTAACCGAACAATGGTAGGGAAAATGTGTTTTAAAATAATATGTCTATTTTAGACTAGTTTCCTTTTTTATATAAATATTGTTAAAAAAAAAAACAATCAACAGGTGTGGAATTTTAAAAATTTATTAAAAGGCCACCAATAGACTTGGACGTTAAAAAAGATAGATGCGCAAGCTTGCATTTTTTTAAATATTTTGAATCGTCCATCACTAAAGAAGATTTTAAATTTTTTTTTAATTTATAAATCTTTTATATATATTTGTCTCTAATTACAGCAACGCTTCCCTCGCTCGAGCCATCGAAAACATTGAATGTGAAACATTTTCACCAACCGATCCCGATCTATTGTTAATGAAAGCAATATCTACCGCCAGTACACAATGCCTACATCAGTGCCTCAGCTTGTTGCAGCGTCATCAAGAGATCCATACACCGCATTCGGAGACGACAAGTGTTAATTAGCGTTCTAGTTATGTCGGCCGGACGCCGTCGTCGTCGTTTGTCAATTAAAGAGCAAACAAACAAATCATGCTGTGTATAGCAGCAAGACAAAATAGCCAGTGATCCAACATTGGCCCGACTAATTTAACATTGATTTATTGTGTTTATTGTTATTAAAATTTATTCAATGTTTTCCAGTTTTTGAAATTAATTCTATTTCCCATTACAAATCCTTCTGAGCACCATTTTAGTCCTGCCCTAATAACTTTGTATAGCCATATTGTAACAACATCATTTAACCATTCCGAATTGTCCAGATCTATACCAAAAAAGCAATACGCTTCAAGCGCGTAACAATTGATAAGTTTTTTTCAAACTTATTATGTAACAATTTTACGCCAAATTGCAAAAAAATATTGTTTAAATAAAAAAGCCTTCATAAGTATTAATCATTTTTTTTTTAATTATTATTGGTACATCCATGGCGTGGGTTTTTTAAAAATAATTTTTTTCCCAGCCTTTGATTTAAAAAAATACTTTTTTTTTTTAAGAAAGCAACAATGCTTGGCATTTTTATAAATATTTTTTCAACTAATCAACAAGTCGTGAGAATATATTTTGGATGTTTTGGTAAATATTTTTTTTTTCAATTATTGTTTAAGGAACTAACCAGGCTTGAATTTTTAGAAATTATTTTTTCAAGAAGCCATTATTTTTTCAATATTTTTTAAGGCGTGGAATTTTGAGAAATATTTTTGAGTTATTTTTTTTTTTTGAGAATATTATTTTAAGGTCTTCCATAGGCCAGGATTTTTTAAAAGCCTTCATAAGTATTAATCATTTTTTTTTAATTATTATTGGTACATCCATTGGGGCGTGGGTTTTTTAAAAATAATTTTTTTTTTAACCAGCCTTTGATTTAAAAAATACTTTTATTTTAAGCCATTATTTTTTTAATATTTTTTCAAGGCAACAAGTGTGAATTTTGAGAATATATTTTTTGAGTTATTTTTTTTTTTATTGTTTAAGGAATATTATTTTTAGAAATTATTTTTTCATTAGCCATTATTTTTTTAATATTTTATTTAATTTTGGATTTTTTAATATATTTTTTTGATTTTTTTCTACTGCGCTGATTTTTTTAAATTTATTATTCGTTAACAATGCTACACTCCCACCTCTGTTGTTTACATATGTTTTGTTTTCGTTATTTGTTTTGCTTATCGCATTCTAAACAAATAAAATCTCTCGTTCTGCGACGCCGTTCAAATGAATAACTAGCGGCTTTAGAATTAGATACCTACCGAGAAGTTGGAGGTTTTCATCGGGCATTCCATTGAAACGAAAGGAATAACTTCGCAACGCAATGAGTAAACAAATTCCCAACAATCCAAAGGAACACCATCCGGTGAATCCCTTGGCATATGCAGATCCAAATAATTTGTATAATTTAGTTTGCAATATGCCACCACCGCCACCTCCACCAGCTGCCAGTGTAGCAGCACCACCTCCGCCGCCACCACCACCATCGGTGCCATATCCTGGTGAAAGTACATATGATACGACCATACCAGCAGCAACGGATCACACGGCTGTTGCTAAAAGCTATGAAGACACATATGATTATGGCAGCAATTATCCCGCATCCTACGATAGTTATGCTGCCGCAAAGGCTTGGCAACCTCCAGTTGCTGGCAGTACATATTCTCAACATTCCTATGAGTATGGTGGCGAACCAACTTATCATCGTGGTCACGGTGATTATCGCCATTCCTCGTATAAATATGGTGCTGGTGTCGGTTCGTATGCCAGCAATTATTATTCTTATGGAGCACCAGCAGCACCTTCCGCCTCATCACACAGTAATTCTGGCTCCAGTTATCGTTATTCCTCATCATCTTCGTCAAGACATCGTGGAGATTATTATTCACGTGCTGGATCATATAGTGGTTCAGACGTCAGATCCTCCAAATCATCAACATATGCCGAGGGATCTTCAAGTAAAAGTGAAAAACGACCAAGGGCACGTGAAGAACGTCCCGTGAAACCAGAAACCGAACGTGATCGTTTACTACGTATGTGGCGTTCGAATTATTGTGAAACACCCGAAGATATACAACGTAAAATGGAAGAATTGGCCGAAATGGATGAAGACACCCCTGAGGTGTGGGTAAGATCCTCTCCAGCTGATTTATATTATCGACGTACCAATGTGGTGCAAGAAGTTGAGGCCACCAAACGTTTGTCGCTGTTGTGTGAATTATTCGAAGAGGAATTGCTGAAACGTTCTGAACGTATACGAGAAAAATTACCACCCTATTGTCCACCACCAAGACAGGCACGACGTCGTGTCTGTAAACATAAATCTGAAGGATGTTCCTCATCCGATTCAGATTCTTCGGATAATGAAGAATTTAAACTGGAGCAGGATAATTGTATGGAAGAGTTGTCACGTAAAGTCCAGCATCCCTATCGGGTACATGCAGATTTATGGCACAATGAACCCGGCGAAATGAATGATGGTCCGCTGTGTCGGTGTTCTCAGAAATCTCGTAGAGTTGGTATACGCCATGGCATCTATCCGGGAGAGAAGTGCTATCCAAAATGTGATCCAAATTCAAATAATGCCAATAGGCTTTACCATTATCGTATTACCATTTCACCACCAACGAATTTCTTAACAAAAACTCCCACCATCATCAAACATGATGAACATGAATTCCTGTTTGAGGGATTTTCATTGTTTTCCCATTTTCCGCTGGGTGATTTGCCGACCTGCAAGGTTATACGTTTCAATATTGAATATACGATTTTGTATGTTGAGGAAAAAATGCCGGAGAATTTCACAGTCAAGGAACTGGATATATTTTGTGAGTATATTAAGATGTGTCCCACCATCAACAGTTTTTGAACCCAAGATTTTTTGAACCATTGATTTTTAAAAAGTTTTTTTTTATTCCAAAAAAATCTTTTTTTTAATTTCATATTTTTCAAAAAATCCACGACTTTTTGTTGTTCGATTTTTTTTAATCCTTGTCATATGCCGACACAGATGTATAGACAAAGTCTAGCGGTATTGAAATATAATTTACAATCATTTTCCCTCTCTCTCCCTCTTTTATTGCAGTTAAATATTTATTCCACGAGCTTTTGGAACTGGTAGATTTCTCGCTATTACCCAAATCGGAGGATAGTGACAGTGACACCTGTCCAGCATTCCACTTTCTGCCACGTTTTGTTCGTGACCTACCCGACAATGGCAAAGAAGTGTTGGCCATGTGTGAAGTACTGAAATATCTATTGGATAATGCGGGACCCCTGGTCGATGGCCCCCTATTGAGTAAACTAACACACACTCCGCAAAGTGAGTGGCAAGATTATGTGGATAATTTCAAGGGCATGTTGGCCACGAAGCCGGGCTATAAACCCAGTTCCATACGTGTTGATCAATTGGATCGTAATGTTGCCGATTTACCCGAATGTTATGACAAAGAGGAGGGTATTTGTCATCCGGCCATTGTACATTTTGGTATACGACCTCCACAGCTTAGCTATGCCGGTAATCCGGAATATCAAAAGGCATGGAGAGAATATGTAAAATTTCGCCATCTCATGGCCAACATGTCCAAGCCATCGTTTAAGGATAAACGTAAGCTGGAAGAGAAGGAAGCCAGATTGCAGGAAATGCGTACCCAGGGTAGAATGAAACGTAATGTCACTGTGGCTGTTAGTTCCAAGGGTTACCATCGTACGGGAATTATGTGTGATATTGTGCAGCATGCCATGTTGGTTCCTGTCCTAAGTGGCCACTTGAGATTCCACAAATCTTTGGATTTCCTGGAGAAGAAAATTGAATACAAATTTAAAAATCGTTATCTTCTGCAATTGGCTCTCACCCATCCTTCGTACAAGGAAAACTATGGCACCAATCCCGATCATGCCCGTAACTCACTGACCAATTGTGGTATACGTCAGCCGGAATATGGTGATCGGAAAATCCACTATATGAACACCAGGAAAAGAGGTATCAACACCTTGATCAACATTATGTCCCGCTTTGGCAAGGAATATGAAACCATGTCGAATATTACACACAATGAACGTTTGGAATTTTTGGGTGATGCCGTGGTGGAATTCCTCAGTTCCATACATCTGTTTTTTATGTTTCCCGAGCTGGAAGAAGGTGGCTTGGCAACATATCGAGCGGCAATTGTCCAAAATCAGCATTTGGCTTTGCTAGCCAAGAAACTGCATTTGGAGGAATATATGCTCTATGCCCATGGTTCGGATTTGTGTCATGAGTTGGAATTGAAACATGCCATGGCAAATTGTTTCGAAGCCCTGATGGGGGCTTTGCTTTTAGATGGTGGCATATCCGTGGCCGATGAAGTCTTTATGAATGCCCTTTTCATGGAGGATGACCAATTGCGTGAAATTTGGAAGAAATTACCCGAACATCCACTGCAAGAGCAGGAGCCCATGGGTGATCGCGATTGCATTTCATCATATCCCATGCTGCAGGAATTGTGTAAATTCGAAGAATCCATTGGCATACAATTTAAACACATACGTCTATTGGCCCGAGCCTTTACGGACCGATCCATTGGTTTTACTCACCTCACCCTGGGTTCAAATCAACGTTTGGAATTTCTAGGTGATACTGTTCTACAGCTAATATGTTCGGAATATCTTTATCGTCATTTTCCGGAACATCATGAAGGTCATTTGTCGCTGCTACGTTCCTCTTTGGTCAATAATCGTACCCAGGCTGTGGTTTGTGATGATTTGGGTATGACTAAATACGCCGTCTATTCTAATCCAAAGGCTGAGCTGAAAACCAAAGATCGCGCCGATTTATTGGAAGCCTTTTTGGGCGCCTTATATGTAGACAAGGGTCTACTCTACTGTGAACAATTTTGCCATGTTTGCCTCTTCCCTCGATTGCAAATGTTCATCATGAATCAAGATTGGAATGATCCTAAATCAAAATTGCAACAATGCTGCTTGACTTTGCGTACCATGGATGGTGGTGAACCGGATATACCGCTCTACAAGGTCATAGAATCTTCAGGGCCGACCAATACACGAGTCTATACGGTGGCTGTGTATTTTCGCAATAAACGTTTGGCCACAGCCACCGGGTCATCAATACAACAGGCCGAAATGAACGCAGCCAAACAGGCATTGGAAAATTCCCGAGATCTATTTCCCCAATTGGATCATCAGAAACGTGTCATTGCAAAAAGTATTAAAAAACAGACAGGACGTGAAATCAATCAGGATATGGATGGTAATTCGAAGGATGAAAAGAAGCCGAAACATAAACCGCACATTGCCGATGAATCACATTTACCCAAACAATATCGCGAAAGGGAGGATATATCAAGTGATGAACTGCCAGATGATGAGGATGAAGAGGGGCAGGAGGAGGTGGGGGTGAATGCGAAACGACAAGAAAGTACGAATAGGAAATTGCCAGCAACAGGTAAGAGATTGTGAGAAGGCGTGTTGGTCATCAATGAGAAGCCATTTAAGATTTCAGAGAAAATCCTTTGGTATTCTCTTTGTTTTGCTTAAGAAGACCCTTTGGTCTATTGTAAAGGAAGCTTCATATGAATATACCATTCGGTCTTTAATGAGGAGGTTATTGGAAGCTTTTTTCCGGTCTTTAAAAAGGAGATTCATTGGTCTTCTATGATAGATCATGATGTCTTCCATTATAGACCTTTCGATCTATTATGAGAAGACCCTTTGGCCTTCTACGAGAAGATCCCTTGGTCTTCTATAAAATATCTTTGAGAAGACCCATCGCTCTTCTATTAGAAGACCCATTGGTCTTCTATTAAAATGTCTTCAGTGAGAAGACCCATCGGTCTTCAATGAGAATACGCATCGGTCTTCAATGAGATGACGCACCGGTCTTTTATGAGAATACCTATCGGTGATCTATGAGAAGACCCATCGGTCTTCTATGAGAAGACCCAACGGTCTTCTATGAGAAGACCTATCGGTCTTCTATGAGAAGATCCATTGGTCTTCTATGAGAAGATCCATCGGTCTTCTATGAGAAGATCCATCGGTCTTCTATGAGAAGATCCATCGGTCTTCTATGAGAAGATCCATCGGTCTTCTATGAGAAGACCTATCGGTCTTCTATAAGAAGACCATTTGGTTTTCTGTAAGAAGACCATTTGGTCTTCTATGAAAATACCCTTTGGTCTTTTATGAGTACACCCTTTTTCCGTTTTGTCTTCTATGATAAGACCCTTTGGTTTCCTACGAGAAGACCCTTCGGTCTTCTACGAAAAGACTCTTTGGCCTTCGATGTGAAGACCCTTTGGTTTTCTGTTTTTTACGAGAAGAATCGTTGGTATTCTTAAGTTTCTACGAGAAGACTATTTGGCGTTTTAAGGCGACTTTTCGGTCTTCTTCTTTTATTACAATACAATTTGATCTTTTCCCCCTTATCGCTTTAATAACCATTTTCGATTTCATTTGCAGGTAATTCATCCAACAGCATGATAGATTCTGATACAGATGACACGTCGGCCTCAATAACACCCAAGAAACGTGTACGACGACTCTCCACCTGCTCATCATTGAAAGATGAAAATCGAAAATCTCAACAGCCCAAAGAAAGCACAACGAAATTGGACTTGCCCTGTGAAGATATTAGCAGTGATGAAGATTTTCATCGTTCCGAAGTGGAAGAAGATAAGGACAATGTGGAAAAAACAAATCCCATACTAAGTGATTTAAAAGATTTAGTCGAAGATATATCATCGTCATCAGATTTAGAACCTGAACCGGGCGAAATATCTTGTTAAACACAAACACACACACAAAGAAAAAAATGTCAAACATTTCCCGAACATGTTTATAGTCTTCAAAATACAATAATATAGATATTTTTCCGTTTCCAATATATGGGTTTTTTGGTATTATTTAAGAATATGCAAAGGTTTTATGAGTTGATATATTTTCGAAATGGTTTGAATGGCATTTAAACAAGGCACAGTATGTGACCGAATGGAGCTTGAATCATTAACTTTGGCAGGGGCATAGCTACACCTGTTTCTATATCGACGCCTCCGAACCATAGTATGCTAAGTCTGAAAAGTGAGTTTTTCAGTAGAAGCTTTCAATGTATGGAAGTTTCTTTAATCGTACGTGCCATGCTAAGTACATGTTTGCTTATAACTTTGGTTTGGATTGGCCGATGATTACCGAAATTTCAGTAAATGTAAATTAAGGACCGTAGTATCTAAAAACGTAAAGAATTTTAAAACATGCTAAAACGGCATATACATTAGAACTTTTTACCGGGTTAACCTACTTTATGAGGATTTATTTGACATATATGCAAAGGAATTGACAATTGAAACCTACTGGGTTAACGAAATCCGGTTAAATGTAAACGTACTATAAGTCAACTTAGCATACTATGGTTCGGAGGCGTCGATATGAATATTATAGAAATAATATGTGAAGAAGAATTTAGTTAATGTTGTGACTTTTTTCATTAATTGTTTATGTGAAAATATTAAAATATGGATTATATTTTCCCTATTGGCATTACATTACCGACTGGACAAATCATGCTTGCCAAAGTAAGTAATGTTTTTACATGAGAGAGAGGAAATTTTGAAACAATGTAAATTGTTCCTGTAAAACTTCATCATGGCTTTGTTTTGCATTTGCGTTATTTTAAAGAGAGCGATAAATAAAGGGAGCCAGACTACCTACATTGCAATGTTGAAGTCGCCAAATGTCTTTTCTGTTTTCAAATCCGTGCAATTACCTTGGAGCTAGACATCTGCAGAAAAAAACATCTACAAAACAACAATAACGACAACAAAATTGTGTCAATACATTTTATTGTTCTTTAGGAACCCAAATACTTATACTTTTTTATAATACTTATATAAAATCGTCGAAATTAGAAATCGAAAATGGGTGGGGTCCCCGAATGGAATACTTATACATATGTATATGTAGAGATTCTCGTATGTTGCCGTCAAATAGACGGTAAAAAGATATGAACATTTTTTAATTGTTTGGAGAAATAATTTCAAATTTAATTCAGTTGTTTGCAAATTGAAATAACACCATTATCCAAATAATATTATAATGGGAATTACACAACGTTCGATAATTAAATGATAATGAAATAGTGTCCTTTGGAGTCGCATAGAAATTCGTTATCACGCATATCATCAGAAAGGGATTTTCGAAGTTCAGCACAATCTGTAACGAGAGAAAGAAAATAACATAGAATATTATTTCTATATTACTGAAGGTAGTCTAATTTGAAAAATTGCATATATTAGGTATTCGCCGATTCGACTACCTAATATATGTGCCTTGAGCAGAACATTGTTCTCAGGATTGAACCATGGTTGTTACATCTTATATTTATAAGTTTTGGGGGGAACATCAAAATATTTATAAATATAAATTATTTAGCAATGTTTGCCACTGAACACATGATATGTGTACATTTGAAAGGATGATATTTTCACCTAAATTTTGAAAGCTGAATAATGTCAAAGGCAAATTCATGAAAAAATGGAAACATAACAACGTTACCTAAAATCCGACGGAGCGTACAAAAATATTCATCTTCCCCACTAGGTCAAAATGTTGTGTACGACCGTATTACCCAAATACGTCAAATCCATATCTTCAAGCAAATAATACAAACCGCAAAATAAAATTGAAAATTTATTAAATTAATTCAAATATTTTATGTTTCCACTCGAAATTTCATATTTCCTCAAAGTTTTGTTTTTATTTTCAACAAAAGAAAAAATTAAAAATACGTTCTGTTAAAGTTGAAATTGTTCAACCTGAAATTTTGTACGTTCGACGTATTTCGGTAACATTCATATAAATACATGTATTCTACTTTTGTGGTGAAAAACGTCGAACGAGCTAGATGAATTTTAGGTAAGGCTGTAACAGCCCTTTTACTAGATTTACTATTAAAAAAGTACTGGAACAGACCAAATGTTAAGTTCTATTTCAATTGCGTTGCCAGTTCAACTCGCAACTGGAGTTTGGTTGCTTTCCATAATCGACCCATAAAAATATGTGGATTAATTTAATAAATTTTCTATTTTGTTTTGCGGTTTGTATTATTTTCTTGAAGATATGGATTCGACGTATTTGGGTAATACGGCCGTACATAACATTTTGCCATAGTGGGGAAGTTGAATATTTTTGGACGCCCCGTCGGATTTTAGGTAACGTTGTAAGACTGCATGAGACTACCTTGTATAATTATGTCATGATTCAAAACAAGACAGCAAAATATATCTGACAAATGAAATAGATCTGCCATCTACATTTTATTTGCAATAAGTCGAGTCAGAAAGTGATTATTTGTATATCCTCAAAGGAAACAATAACAAATATGTTCACAAAATCGTAATACCCGTACTAAAGAGCTAACCCGAAACGTGGACCAATCTCTTTCAATTTCTGCTAGGATGATATAGTATATTAACTTACTCATTTCATTATTGCAAATGTCAATGGATTTTAAAGAGTCAACAATATAACGATGGTTGAGTAACACTTCCAAAAACGACTCTGAGAAAATTTCACTAGCGAATTTCGTATAAAATTTCAATTTCATTGCCGAACACTTCGAATGCAAATTAAGCCAAAAATCTATAGATGTTCGAAAAAGTGTAAATGGAATTTCCAAATATTTTATATTTTTAGCTGCCACCCAAGGTATTATGTTCAAATCATTATCCGGATTGTTGTGTGCTTCGGAACTTATAAACTGATATGGGTCCGTTGACAGTATGTCACAATGATCTGTACACATATATGTAGGCAATTCAATTATTAATTGTTGTAGATTAACAGATAGTAAAAGCTGAAACATATATGACCATGTCATGCCTTCGAACATAGATATCTTAAGGGTGTGTAGGCATGACAGTTGTTGAAACTCCTCGATCGGAAGATACGCACGTTCCAAATGTAAGGTCTCGAGTTGAGGGAACAGTTGAGAAAAACGTTTAGTGTTTTCGTTTAGTGTTGATTCATCGGAGTTAAGCCAATTTAATGTTGTAACTTGAGGAAAGCTGCAATCATCTGCGTCCAGTATTTCTGGAAAAGATTCAATTATATACGTTTCCACAGTAAGAGTTTGCAGCGTGTGAAATCTATTAAATAGGCCCACCACATGGCCATCGTAATAACAATTAATGGTATCGAAAGTTTGCAATGAATATTCATGTAACATCTCGTAAAAATGTTGCCATGTTAAACCTTTACACCATATCAGGGATAGATGTGAGAGTGACGGCGACAGGATGAAATGTTCAGTTCGAAATTTGCACTCTTTGAAGGAAAGTTTTTGTAGTCTGGGACAGGAATTTGCAATGTCCTTTAGTGTGGTATCTGTTATAAAAACATAATTGCCCGAGTCTATGAATAAGGCCAAAGACTGCAGATTTGTCAAATGAGGTAAATGCAGTTCTTCAAACAAAACCCAAGCATTGAGATTTGAAAATCTGCACAAATCTAAATGTTGTAGATTTTCCCACTTTGATGGAATTAAATCTTCACATCGTTTTATACTTTTAGCAACTAAAGACGAATTAATAGATAATTTCGTTAGGTTCAGTTTATTAACAATACGGATTAGACTTTCATAATTAGTTTTGATGGAATATCGAGTAACGATTCGTAGCTCTCTCAGAGATGATATTCTTGCCAATGTTTCTATTTTCAATTGTTGGTCCAAGACCAAATCTTCGTGGCAATGGTCACAACTGCAATGATCTAATATCAATGTTTTCAAGTCATGACAATTTTTGGCCAATCTTTCTATCGTGTCAATCGAAATTTTACAGTGGAGTATTTCCAAAGCGATGAGATTTGCGAACTCTCCAGTAATTCGAAATAGTTTCGCATTCGTACAGTGACTTAGTGTTAGTCTTTGGACATTAAAACGATTTAAATTTAGAAATGGAACAACTTCTTTCTCTTTCATGCAGCAAATTTCACTTCCATTGCAATTCACAAAATAATGATCGCCTTGTTGGTTGACTTTTAGATCCTTGCAAGTGGAGCGCCATACAAATTGCACCAACGTATCGTGAAATTCTCTACAAACATGGATTAGTTTAAGCTGATCTTTCAGCTTGAGATTTCGAAATATTTTTTCCAAAACGATACTATTATTGATGAGTTGACAATCAGATAAATTAGATTTGTACATTTTTTAAATTGTATTTTCCGAACAGTTAGTTTAGTGATGCGAAGCGTTTCTTGTATTACTTTCAACTAGACGTCTGCTTGTACAATGAATGTCCAAATGAATTGTTCTTCGTTTTTCTTTGTCCTATCAGACGATCAAAGTCGAAAGCACAACATACAACAACACGAATGAATGCAATGGGTGAAAAATCATGCATATTTTGCATTACAACTGATTACAATTTTTTATCAAGGTGACTTGTTCCATCAAATCAAAATACATATTTTGTGTATGTGTGTGTAATGTTTTGAATAATAGGTCAAATAAATTGAAATATATACAAATTTAACAGCCTTACCTAAAATTCAACTAGCTCGTTCGACGTTTTTCACCACAAAAGTAGAACACATGTATTTATATGAATGTTACCGAAATACGTCGAACGTACAAAATTTCAAGTTGAAAATGTTCAACTTTGACAGAACGTATTTTTCATTTTTTTTCTTTTGTTGAAATTAAAAGCAAAACATTCAGGAAATTTGAAATTTCGAATGGAAATTAAAAATATGTGGATTAATTTAATACATTTTCAATTTTGTGTTGCGG